GGGGGGGGGGGGACTACCGGTTGTATTTTTATTAGATGTAACTTTTACATGTGAAATTACGACATGTTATTTCAAATGTGACACTGACCTAGAGACTCTGATGTAACATTGACATTAATGGGCACATGTTGTTTAAAGGGTCGTCGCTGGGGATTAGATATTGGAGACAAATTTTTACCCTTTCACCAAGAAACGATGAAAACATGGCCGAAGGCATTTGAGCATTGACATATGCGGCGTCCCATTGTCTAGGTGTTTGCTACGTAGTTGTGCCTTTATTATCGATTAAACCACAAGGCTTGGCAATATTGTTAGGGTAAAACTGTGTGTCCTTGTCGTCTGGACATTTGCCAATAATTGACTTTTATACTCTACCAGCTGTTTGCCTAAGTCTTTATAGTATATAATTTTATTTGTTTTTATTTATTTATTAAGATTTTCAGAAAAGAAACTGAGAGGAGTTCAGTAACAGGATGGAATCCTTTAACAAAGCTGACTCCTCCAAACGAATAAGAAATAATAAAACATGACTATACAAAATATAATAATAATAATAATAATAATAATAATAATAATAATAATAATAATAATAATAATAATAATAATAATAATAATAATAATAATAATAATAATAATAATAATAACATGACGATAGTGGCCGAGAAATATAATGGATTGAGTAAGTTCGTTAACAGTGAGACCAGGTAATTTGATACTGACCGGTATTTTTGTTTCATTTTATGTAACGACCCTGTGTGCATGTGGCATTAATTAAACTTGTAAAGAATTATTATACAGAGATTTTTAGATATACAAAGTCGTCAACTGCTAACTAAAATCTTAGATATTGAATTTCAGATCACAACAAACAACCACCGAAATATGATAATTGCAACGATTATGTTAAATATAAAAAATCATCGAGTATTGAATTAAATATTAATGATATTACGATAAAGATATAATTATCATAAGTATAAAAATCATCCAGTATTGAATTTAAATATTAATGATATTATGATAATGGTATGATTATCATAAATATAAAAATCATCTAGTATTCCTCATTGTTGATATTTATTACATGGACGAGAAAGTTTTAAAGCAAACAAAAAATCCAAATATTCAAAGAGCCTTTTTTGTTATCTTTAAAACCAGATGTCGACAATAATTCCCTGACGTCTCTCCAGTCATCGAGTGCCTAAAGAACCGGTTAAAGATCTGTCCCTTCTAAACATCCTGTCGCCTCTTGTGAAAGCTTGAGTGTCGAGGCATGCTATCTTATGGAACTGGCTTGCCAAATGTGTCGCCGAGAGCGCCACATGTGAATGGGTAATAAATCATAACAGTTTGATCTGTCACTGGTGCTGGTGGACAGATTCATATACATGCATCAAAGGGATAAAAGAAAATAAGTTAGGAGCCGCTTTTGAAAACATACGTACTTCCCCGGTAGCTAAAGACGTAGCTATAAGGCAGTAGCGTAGATAAAGGCAGTAGCGTGCGTAGTCCAGTGGTTAGCGATTCTGCCTCGGACTAAGAGTTTGGGAGTTCGAATCCCGGCTGATGTCGCTCATCCGACATGCACGTTACTGTTTAGGATCACAGTCCTTAGGACGGGACGTTAAGCCGTGGTCCACTGTTCATTGTGCTTGTCATAAAGAGCTAGGGGAATTTCCCCGTTACAAAGAACCTGTAAATACTGTACATAGTGTCTGTCACGACCAGTTGAAGATTAACTCTTCAATGAGCTAAACTGGTTCGAGATCACTTTCAAAGACGACGTGCAGCGTTTAAATGTTTGGAACCGGACATAACAATGCCACATCCTCGAGAAGTAGTTTTTTTATTACCTTCTTCAAGAAGGTCATGTTTCGGGTCATGTCTCTGTGTGACAACCCGAGAAATCGTAGAAGGACAGTCTTGATATTTGATAAGTCAGTAGTTGTTGACCTCTAGATTCTTTGATTTCGAGCCCCTGTTGGCTTGTAATGGTACTGCAGCAGAATTGCTGGTTTTGACATCTATGGATCTAGACATGCTAGGATCATGAATTTTGGAGTAGGTAGCACTTGAGATCGGAAAGAAGCGATGTGGTTTTTGGGCCCCTACCAGCTCGTTCTGAAACGAAAGATGTGTTTGTTTTAAAATCTTTGAAGGAAAATAAATTTAAAAAACGGGTCCATATTTCGGTCTTTATTTGAGTAAATGGATGATTGATATATTAAGATGATATTTGTGCAAATTGGGACCTAATTCAATTCAGATTATTCTATATCCTGTCATTGGGTGGAGAATACGATCATTTTACACAATTGAGAACATTTATAATTCGTCCGTTGTAAGATTGACAGAAGTTGGTTAAGGTATGAGCTTGTTATACACTGTTACGGGACAGATGTATGTTATACACTGTTACGGGACAGATGTATGTTATACATTGTTACGGGACAGATGTATGTTATACATTGTTACGGGACAGATGTATGTTATACATTGTTACGGGACAGATGTATGTTATACACTGTTACGGGACAGATGTATGTTATACATTGTTACGGGACAAATGTATGTTATACATTGTTACGGGACAGATGTATGTTATACATTGTTACGGGACAGATGTATGTTATACATTGTTACGGGACAGATGTATGTTATACATTGTTACGGGACAGATGTATGTTATACATTGTTACGGGACAGATGTATGTTATACATTGTAAACACAAAATGCCCTATATTTGTCTCAGTTGAGTGTAGCCATTCAATCGTTTTTGCAATACATTTACGCGTGTATACCAATAAGATGTATTGACTCTCTGAAATGAATGTATTGCTTTAGAAATCAAGCTCAACGCCCCATGTATTCAAATAGTGGCTTTCTCAGCCTTTTTCATCATTTTGATGGGATAAAGGCGGCGAAGTGGAAAAAAGATTAGCGTGGAAGCAATAAATGTGTCTCTAAATGTCTGCGTCTTTACCCCGCAATGGCTCACCATTGAAAAGTCATCAAGATTTCTTTTCTCGTCCGACACAAATCGATGAATACAGCCATTGAATAGATGCGCTATGTTATAACAGGGATATAGACCTGCTAGTTTTCCATCGCAAAGTAATTTGTTACAGGCTATTAACAGCATCTTTTTTATGACTAGTCAATCTCCTCTGTGGATTTCTAAATTGCTTTCTAAGGTGGTCTAAAAGCTTACTATTAGAAGAACTGTCAAATATGGAATCGTTAAGAGAAGATGAAAACAGTATAAATATAGATTACTTGCTTCCCTATACTGATTACTAGAGTGTAATATTGTTGCTGTTGTGGACTTGTAACGTGCTGCTAAGAACCGTAATCAACGCTTATTACATGTATGCCCATTTTGTACATGTACGCACATGCGGCCCGACGTTGTGCCCTTGGGAAAGGCACTTTACACGAATTTCCTCACTCCACCCAGGTGTGAATGGGTACCTAACTTCGGTTGGGGAAAGTCGCATTGAGGTCACATTGTGGCACCGGATGGCAGCCGCACAGACCCTTGCGACAGTTCCACAAAAATAATTGTGGAGCAAACGTGTATCATGTGTATTATTTGATTGTTGTGATTTGTATTGATGGTGATACCCTGCATCAATTCAGCCGTATAAAGGCTGCGACTGCACGGGTACTGTTTGGACAATAAAAACCATTTATTTATTTACGTACAACAGAAAGTAATCTATTTTGAACGTTACTTTCAAACATGTGCATCCAAATGTGCATGTAGTCGATCTTTCTTAGATTTTACTCTGGTAATAATGACACACTAAAATTCCCTCTAGTCCGTTCACTATTAAAAAACATTATCTAGACAAGATACATATCTTTACATTCTTCATGGCACTGGCTATATACGTGTCTGTTTTGACTTATTTATAAGAAACCGATATATTGCCTGAAAAATATAAGTTGCATGTGCGGACTATGTTTTTTTATCTCTAATTTCCACCCGTAATTCAGCATTATAACATATACATGTCTACGGTTTTTATTTTTTTATTTAATAGAAAGATAACGTTACTTAACAGAGGAAAGGATAGGCAGTAGATACTTCAAGATGACATTGTAGTTGACGTAAAACAGTACAAGTTTTAAAACCTGTACTGTAGTTGTTTAGCCTTAGGTGTAAAGGAGTATAATCTGGTTTGCCACAATGCTTAACGTCTATCGCTTCCTGATCGTACCGGCGACTAACTCCCAGATTCCACCAATCAAGTCATATCTGCACCATTACAGACGAATGCCTTTCTTCACGACCTCTTCCACCTCTTTGAAAGCGGTATTCAAAGCCAACAGAGACGTGTGACAAGATTGATGATCTAATTACCGCTGCGAACGTCCCTCTGCTTGAGCCTTGGCGTAGGTCGATTCACTCTCCGGCGATGGCAGACGAGGCTTCGGTCACATCTGTCGGCGGTTTCTGCGGAAACCCTTTTACCATAAAAGCGGGCCAGACTGTGAGGCCTTTGCTTTCCAAGAGATCGTTAATCTTAAGGTGCTGTGACGTACCTGTGTGTTGAAACCATACAAAATCCTCTACCTGTACCCTTAAGACCTATGTAAAGAAATAACTTTTTTTACACTTTGGAGTTGCTGACAGATCATCATTTATGCTACAGCTCCGGAGCTTCAGGAACAAAGCTGTCGCCCTGCTTAGATCATCAGTTAACCCCGTTCCATCATATTCTTTTACCGTCACCACAGAGAGACGACATGGCGAGTCAGCGATTTTGTGGTCCTCAACGCTGGAGTTGCGGGCTGGTTGCTGCCATGATGTATGCAATGATTGCAGGTACGATAAAAAAAAGTAGAATATAGCATGTAAAGGTCTTACATCACAAGACCGGGACTTGCCGATGCTTAGAATTAGGCCACAGCATGTAAATTTTATGGATGACATCTTCCTCATGCTCCAAATCTAATGCGAGCGGACGAAAAAAAAACAAGGCGGGCCGAAAACAAAAGGTTCCTACATTTTCAAACATTTGACTCAATCATTGTACAAATGGTTTTGATTCAGTGGGAACATCACATGTACACAGCCAACATCACATATCACTGCATCAAAGTTAGAAACAAAACATTAAATCAGAGTCTTTTCTTGTCTCCTCTCTTTATAGTTATGTTATCTGCCATCCGCCTTACGGCATGGCAACAGACATCTTTGCCCATTTTCGGCATGTTGATCACAATTTTTTTTTTCCAAAACCAGGCAAAATTAATGCGCGCGCTGATGGCAAGGACATTCTCTAAAGTTACCACGAACCTATTTTGAGTACGTTCTTACCTACCAATGCCCTCATGACTTAATAGCTTTTTTCGCCAAAAGGATTTTGCCTAGACCTTCAAGGTGAATGCTGTGGAAAATATGAGTAAGTTCTACAATCCCTTTATCTATAATCATGATTTAATTACAATGATTCCTCTAGAATTCTGTAACTGTTTGTGTTACTAGTTTCACTCTCTATAGAAACCCAACCAGCAGGCAGTGTCAGTTTTTTTAGTCCCGGTGGGTAAAATACATATCTCACAGGCCACATATTTTCCACAGCATTCACCTTGAAGGTCTAGCCAAAATCCTTTTGGCGAAAAAAGCTATTAAGTCATGAAGGCATTGGTCACACCAAAGTTGCGTGTATGGGATATGAATTGTGACAAATGACGTTGCAACGGTATCGTTATTTTTGGCAGTCTCGCAGACGGAGCAGGCGCCAAAAGTACAGGGTATGGTAGGACTGGGGGACACCGTTTAACTCATGAAAACATTGATCACACCATACCAAAGTTGCGAGTATCTCATATGCATTTTGGCAAATGTCATTGCAACTGTATCGTTTGCGGTCTCACAGGCGGAAAATGCGCCAAAAGTACAGAAGATGGTAGGACAAGGCGACACCGTTTAACTCATAAAGGCATTGATCACACCATACCAAAGTTGCGAGTATGTCATATGCATTTTGGCAAATGTCATTAGGCCACAGCAAGTAATTTTTTTTGGATGACATCCTCCGCAACCCCAAATCTAACGCGAGCGGGCGAAACAAACAAGGCGGGTAAAAAAAAAACACAAGGTTCCTACATGTAAAAAATTTGACTCAATTATTGTACAAATGGTTTTGATTCAGTGGAAAGATCACATATACACAGCCAACATCACATATCACTTCATCAAAGTAAGAAACAAAACATTAAATCAAAGCCTTTTCTTGTCTCCTCTCTTCATAATTATCTGCCATCCACCTTCCGACATGACAACAGACATCTTTGCCCGTTTTCGGCATGTTGACCAATGTCAGAAGGCAACAACATATCTTTTTTTTTTCTCCAAAATCAGGCGAAAATTAATGCGCCCGCTGATATCATCCATAAAATTACTTGCTGTGGCCTTACCAAAGTTGCAAGTATATCATATGCATTTTGGCAAATGCCATTGCAAAGTTCTGTATCGTTTTGCAGTCTCGCAGGCGGAGAAGGCGCTGACTGTGCAGGGGATGGTGGGAGACACCGTCATGCTTCCAGGAAACTATGACCCTGACCGTGACCAACCCGTCATCGCCCTGACGTGGAACAAACTTGACTCCAAGGTTGAAGGTACAATGCTTCAACATCCCGTGTGATTTACAACGCTCGTTCCGGCTTAAAGAGATTTTACAGGGGCAAAAGTGTCAACGGAAATAGCAAGGTTGCTTACTGCCGTTTTTGGAAAATGAAGGAACGTTCATGCATTTCAACCTTCTCTCCGCTTGCTCAACAGAGTTTGTTACAATTCAAGCTATAGATAAATTTAATTTCATCCTAGAAGGTAATAACCCTTACTATGTACAAATAGGTAAATATATCACAGAATGTTTAGACCTTAGAAAAAATCTGAGAACCAACAAATTAAATTGGTGTGGCCTAATACAAGATCCTTTAACTGTTGCCCCCCGTGTGTCCCCCTAGGCACAAGGCATGTGGTGTACATGTTTACGCCCAAGAACTCCATGGCGTCTGGATCGTTGAAAGAGAGAGCGGTGTTTCACGGAAACGGCTCCCTTACCATCAGAAACATCAGAGAAGACGACGAGGGACAGTATGTCATGACCCTGTTGATTGACGCTGTAGGACAACAAGAGCATTTCGTAAATCTGAATGTTGTTGGTAAGTAGTGTTTAATTTCATTTCGTTTATTTCTTCTCGGATTAGATTTGATATAATATTTTTTTTCTACCAGTATGTTTATAAAACCAATTTTGTTTAATGTAGTTAGTCTAGTAACACCAGGCTTTTCAAAATACTAAACAAAATATAACGTCTGAGTGCAACAACAGGAATCTGGTATGTTTGATCTTCTGTGCAGGTTTTAAAAGCACACTCATCAGCTGTCGTTGCAATTAGTTCTATTATTCTAGAACTACTAATGAACAGTTATACGGTTCGCTACCAAATGTAACTTCAGTAGTCAAATGTCGACGACTAAGCTTGGCTGGTCATGTAGTACGTAGTGAAGAACCAGCCAGTAGGCTTCTACTCTGGAACCCTGATACCGGTAAGAGAAGAGTTGGACGCCCAAACATAACAGTTAAGAAACTTATTGAAACTGAAACTGGCTTGGAGGGACATGAACTTTTCTCTGTGATGTATGACAGACAGTTGTGGCAAGCTAACTTTGTATGCTCCACCTCTACTACAGAGGATGAATAATGATGATGATGAATGATGAAGAATCTAGATACTGTGTACTGATCGATGAGGTGCACCGGTGAAACAAAAACATGTTGGTCAGCTCCGTAATCTCAGTGTAATACATCATGGGACTTTAATACATGTGAAGTTTATAATCTATGGCAGGTAGAATATAACCAGATACCAATTATACAAATTCGGACCTAATTTGCATAATTAATCTAAAAACTTCTATGACTCCTTAGTGGTAAATGATGGGAATTTCATACTTGGGACATGTGTAAGTTAATCAAAAGTTAACATCACGATGCATTTATTATGTTTATGTAGAGATCATTTGCATATAAAAGACGACATTAACATTTACATGTCAAGCCCATATTTCATGGAGGTATAAGAGCTCGGAACTCTTGTTTGTAAATGTATCCATGTGGACTAGCGACTATGATATCACTACTAGAGCGACATTTCAGAATGCTGTTCAAGCATATTTCACTGTGCATCGTTAAGATCGGCACTATTCCCATTATGCGCATATGCGTTTAACACCATTAGCTTTTATCACACGATATCATTCCGATTTCCTTTTTTGAGTACTAAAAGTCCGTGATAAAGACGACCACCGACTGTTTTACAAGTGCGTGTGGTTTCGTCTCGTTAAGGTAAGCCGTCCGTAACCGTCCACAACGTTACGCGCACTATCAGTTTTGATGACACCTCTCCTGTGGGTAATCCACCTTCTTAATCGTAACTTAACTCGCTGGCAATGCGGCGTTATGGACTGCCACCCAGGACACAGTTTTCTGGTTTCCGATGATGAAAATCATCATTCAATTAACCCTGGGTCGCGCAGTTCGAGTTTGTGGCTACTCTGTCTCAGATGTTGCTACTGTCCTGTAATGATACTGACGGGATGCTAATGATGCATGCAAGATGATATTTGAAGATAGGAAAATAACATTGAATGTTTACAGCGTTCCTATGATACTGGTTATCCTCGCCTGACCATCTCTATTTATCAATACACAATAAAATAGTGACAGTTTATTCCCCCGTACGGCCAAGCTTTGGAATTCCCTCCCTGACAAGTGCTACCCACCAACCTACAATCTACAGGCTTTCACATCAAACGTTCACCGCCATCTCTTGACATAGCCATGTTTCTCTCATCTTTCTAGTTCAATGCCGAGAAGCGGTCGTATAGGCCTTGCATTGAACCACTCCGTTAGAAAAACAAGGACAAAGTGTTACTGGGCTCAGGTTTATAACTTGAGCGCCACACAATAAAAGACAATTAACATATAAATACACAGAGTGGACATAACAGTGCGCCAAAGTCCCACAAACCTAAAAAAAAAAAAAAAAAACTTTATTTATTTGCTCATCATTTAAACAAATGTACAAACAGCAGGGGGAGCAGAAGCGCATCCCCCTGAATTAGGTACAATTTGTCACATTATTTAAAGCATCAAACAGCATTCACATAGAAGAAATAATACATATAAACAACCATATATACAAAAGACACATATAAAAAAATTATTTACAACATATAT